GTTGCAGGTACTTAAGGTAAAGGTGGAAGAAGATTAAAGTAAAGGCGAAAAAGAGCTGGAATTACGAAATTCGCTTAAACCTTAACATTCGCTTAATCTCTTGCCGAGGCCGCGTAATCCGACAAGTCCGCTAAGACTAGCAAATAGCCTTTTTTCGAACCTTCAACTTGTCAATTCTTAGAGATCAACAATACTAATGGTCTAAATACCTTATTAAAAGTACGATCTTAGTATCCCGACCGTGCCCGACGAAAAGGAGAGCGATTCTTACGTTTTATTTACTAAGGATTCCGAAGTGTTGGTTACCGACAAGGAACGCCGGGACTATAAGCTTTTAGCTAAGCTAAGAGCCGAGGGAATCATTAAGAGCCTTAAGGCATTATTTCAAAAGTCTAAAGCAAAGGAATTAGCTGGATTAATAGCTTAAAGCATCTTTTAAGTAATCTCGAGCATCGATTTACGCGTTAAAGGCGCTAAGATCTTCGGATCTAGGTTTGTTGATAAGATCAAAGGCAAAGGAACACTTACGTTATACGAAAAGTCTCGTATAATGGTCCAAGCCTTTCAAGATAAGAGCAAGACGAAAGTACTTACCGAGTCACTTACGGTGCAGCGAGCGGGCCAAAGACTCTATTGTGCTCTAGCTTTTTTTTTGATAAAGGACTACGGGTGTCAAGTTTATAGCAAGGATATCACTTAAGCTTACACTTAATTAAGCACGAAGCTCATTCGAATAATCGTCGTGCGATTACTTAAGGAGATCATCTATCGATTTCCCTCCGGCACTTTATTCTTTATGACTGGCCTTTTATATAAGATCCTCGAGGCAAGAACGCACTAGTATAAGCGTTTTTCAAGGCATTTCACGGACAACCTCGGGATAAGGCAATCGAGCTTTGATTTTTGCTTTTTTGTATTAACTAATAAAGATCAGCTAAGAATAGCTGCCTTATAGACGGATGATGTTCTTATAATTATCAATCCAGCTATAAGGGCAAAGGAGGAGAGGGAGCTGGTCAAATCTAAGCTAAGGAGCAAGGAAATGAAGACTTTTACATACGCCGAGCTAATGATTTTTAATAGATGCAAGTTATCCTTGGATAAAAAAGGGTTCGGACTGTCAGTTGGGCAAAAGGGGCAGGGTGAGAGGCTTGCAGTGATCAAGCTCGATTTAGCCACACGGGCTAAAGAGTACTTGGAGCAACGTGCTCGAGGGGCGTATTTGGCTACCATTTGCTACTTAAAGGCATCTTGCGCTTTATCGATAGCTGCTTAACACTAGGAACCGAAGGACGAGGACTATAAGGCTTTTAATAAGGTGATCTAGTGGCTGATCGATCACTTAATTCGAAGGATCCACTACGTACTTTTGGACTTGAGGACGGCGAAGCTCTTTATGTTCGTGGACGGAGCGTTTGCTAACAACGCTGACTTTAGCTCTCAAATCGGTTTCGTAGCTATCTTTGGCAATAAGGCTTACGTAAGTGAGAACGAGTTCATTTTGACGGGTAACATCCTTTATTAGGTATCACAGAAGTGCAAGAGGGTGATAAGAGCAGTATTAGCTTTTAAGCTATACGCTATATCCTTAAGTATCGATATAGCTATTGCTATGTCGACCACCTTTGCCTAAATCATAGCTTAGCTAGGAATACTTAATTTCTTCGTGGTTGTTTGCACTGACTTTTATTCGCTTTACGAGTGTATAGTAAAGCTGGGGACTATTAAAGAGAAGCGCTTAATGATCGATATCATAGCTATTCGGGAGTCATACGAGAGGCGGGAGCTCTTTGAGGTACGCTGGATCGGAGGAAAATCTAACCCTGCTGACGCCATGATTAAAGTCGAGGCTAATACCTCTTTGCAAGAGCTAGTTTTGACCAATACTTTGAAGGTGCAGGTGGACGGGTGGGTGGAAAGGCCGTTGTGAGATAAGGAGAAGTGAGGTTTGGTGGAGTGATTGTTTTTCTTTTGTTTTGATCACCTTCCTTCCTTTTTCGGTCGATATAGTAGTTAGCAAGGCACTACTTGCTAAAGAGAGAGTTGCCGGTGTCGGTATATCTATATCGACCTTAGCTAGTAGTAGTAGTAGTAGTAGTAGTTGGGGAAGCTCATCCGTAAACCATGGTTCACGGGCCACTTGGCATGCCTCGCTTAGCATGTTAGCAGTTAAGGGACCCCCAACTTGACAAGTAAACTTATTAGCTAGCTAGTGCACGTGATTCCTTCTAATCGTATAGAAGGAATCAGCTCCCCTGAGCCTTGGGGAGCAGACAGAATTCAGATATCTTATCAACCGAGTGTTTTGCAATTGCAAGTACTTTGACGACCTTACGAAGTTACGAATATATATTCCTAATCGCTTGGAAGCAATCCAACAAGGTCGAAGCTCTTTTAGTATTAAGAATTGAATGAAAAAGGAACGTTAGCTTTAGTTAAGTGTATTAAAGGCTTTGCGATTACGCCGTAATTTCGAATGAATCGGCGGTAGAAATTGCAAAATCCAAAGAAGCTTTAGACGCTTTTAACGGTTGTAAAGGGCGCTTAATGCTTTATTATCGACGTCTTATCCGGATCTACTTTTAAGCTTTCGATAAAGATAATAAAGCTTAAGTATTTTACTTTAGAAGTGCTGAATTCGCATTTCTTAATATTAGCTTAAAAGCTAGCGTCGTCGAGTCGTTAAAGAACTTAGCGGACGTAGTTAGCGTGCTTTAAAAGGTCGGAAAAGTAAATTAAGATATCGTTTAAATATATCGTGCAAAAGATGTTTAAGAAGTCGAAAAAGAAGTCATTTATATAGCGTTAATAAGTGGCGGGTCTATTGATTAGTCCGAATAAAAAGACTTTGCACTTGTAAGCTTTATAACGTGTTTTGAATGTTGTAAGCTTTTTCGAAGCTGGGTTTATCCGTATTTTATAAAAGGCTTGCTGAATGTCGAGTTTCGTAAAGATTTTAGCTCTTAAAAGACGTACGAAAGTCTTATCGATCAAAAAGAAAAGGTATCGATCTTTACGAGTAAAGTTGTTTAGCGCGCGGAAGTCAATACAAAA